GTGTGTGTGTGTGTGTGTATAACCAATACGTCAATTTCTTTACTTGAGCTAATCTCTGGAAAAAAAGTCTAGGTAAAATCGTGCTTTTTATTCCAGCCATCCCCTTAATTATAAAAAAACAAACGAGGCAATATGATTTTTTGTCACGCGTGATAAGTCGAGTCACACCCACGCGCGTTTAAAATCCACAGCAGGTTTCTCACTTTAGACAAGTAATGTGCACAACATTTATCTTCCGGAATTGCTCCAAACGGCTGGCAGCCGTTCCTTGCCTCATTCCTGTTTGGCTACTCCGTTTCATGACCATGACGACGATAAAGGACTCGCCACGTACAGGGCATGGGGGAGAGGTCACCTGTGTCGCGTGAGTGCGATTCCTCGAGGGACGTGTATATATCAAAGTACTCGTTATCGAGAGTCATTTCAATTCATCTTCTCCCCCTGCTCCGCGCCAGGGAGAAGATTACCCCGTGATAAACCAAACGCGCGATTGTCATGTCGTTTCTCTTTTTTTTTCCGAATTATAGACTCGCTCGTTGCGATAATACGCGCAACGCGTTTTCTACCTCGCCAATAATTTAAGAAAATGAAGGTAATTGCAATGCCGCTGCAATCCCGCGATTCGTTTCGTTCTCAAGTGTCTTGTATTTTACCACGACGTAAGAGGCTAATGTAGAAACAATTTATCAAGCCGTATATTCGCAAGCAAGTCTAAAACGGCCTTCCACGTAGTTTTCCACTTATTACTAGAAATAACCGACTCGATTGCAAATTTTATAATGTGTGTTCTACCTTCTGCCATAAGACGATTCGATTACTACTGTCGTACTATCAATTGTTTCTGATTTGAATAATGACATTGCGATTTGTAGTGATGTGACAGTGAAACCAAATTGTTAAGAGATTTTTCGCGATAGAATCTCAGTTTATTTTACTCTTTATTTTTTTTCAATGTTTAGAACTAAAAAAAGATAAATAATAAATTAAATTGGGATTAAAGTTAATTTATTATTAATCTTTTTGTCTCGTCTTTTAAATTATATATTTGCATTTATTATATAGTTATATAATTAAATTTAAAATAGAATAGAATATAAATAAAAATATAAGTAAATTGGTATAAAAAATATTCTAGTTGAAACAAAAAAAAATTCCGGTACCGGGAATCGAACCCGAGCCTCCTGGGTGAGAGCCAGGTATCCTAGCCACTAGACCATACCGGATCACGATATTCGCTTCTTGAATGTTGAAGAAATATGTAGTTATTACATTTTAATTACAATATATTTATATATTACAAATATTTTTACATTTTTTAAACAATATTGTTAATTGACTACAATAATATCTCGCAACATTCTTGCCAAAAATCTTTTAAAATAGTAAATAATAAATAAAAATAATTATTTTTATTTTATGTTCAGCTTTAAAATTAATATTATTAATAATTCTAATAATAGATATTATATTGTACATAATACTATATGAATAATTTAAAAAAAAACATTTTTGGAAGGATAAAAATAGATATTGTCTATACTGAGATTCGAACTAACAAAGTCTGAAATAGTGCATGCTTTATGTGTTCTTGGTACTTCGAGCGGTAATTTATCAATTATAGAGATAAAAATAATAATTGCAAAACTTATAATATGGAGCAAAAAAGTGTGTCAGAAGTGGGATTCGAACCCACGCCCTCAGAGAGGACCAGAACGCCCTACACTCGGTTTGGAACCGAGAAGGTTTGAAACCTTGAGTCTGGCGCCTTAGACCGCTCGGCCATCCTGACAACTGACGAGAAGTCTCTTAATGATAAAGATAAGTTGCATACTATGGACATGCACATTAAATTTATTTAATATAAAATACACATAAATAAATATCATAACATTTTTAATAAATTTTCAATACAAAAAATTATATTTGTAAATTTTGTTAAACATTTTTTTTCATAAAGCGCATATAAAATTAAAGCTGATCAAGACGATGTATTATGCAAAATTTTTAATAAAAAAATAAAAAAATATGTCAAATGTTTTTTTTATTATATTATACATTCGTAACGTTTTTATAAGCAAAAGAATTTGTCAGAAGTGGGATTCGAACCCACGCCCTCAGAGAGGACCAGAACGCCCGAACCCGGTCTTGAACCGAGAAGGTATGAACCTTGAGTCTGGCGCCTTAGACCGCTCGGCCATCCTGACAGTTGAACTCGCCTCCTCTCGTACGAATACTCTAACATTTTTATGATATATTATTTATATTATATATTACTTATAATTATTATCTTTTTCTTCTAGATTACAAATTAATAATTTTTTCATTAAATGTACTTTATTTTGCATTTAGATACTATGATGAAATATATAAATATTTCATAATCTAAATTATACAATTATAGATCTTACATAAGATTTTATATAAAAATTTTTTTTAATAAATACAATATTTTGTAATAGCATTATTATCATTAAAAAAAAAAATTTCTATGAAAATAAATCGTGACAGCAAAAAATGTTTCCGCCCGGGATCGAACCGGGGACCTTGTGCGTGTGAAGCACACGTGATAACCACTACACTACGGAAACTTACGAGAGTCGAGTCTTCCGATGTAGATCATATGGTTCCATACGCTTTTCAATAACAAAATGAAAGTTTATTAATAATTTTTGTTTACATTTTTTACTGCTTTCACAAGACAAATTTTAATGTAATAAAACCTAAAATAGTATAAAAAATATATGATATAAAAACATTATACTAAAAAAATCAATAATTATCAAATAATTCAGTATTTTTCTTCTGCTGAAAAATTTATATCAATAATTATATCAAATATTATTATTTATCGAAGATTAAATTCTTTATTTAACAAATCAATCTGGTATTTCATCTGTATTGTCAGATAACAACATAAATAATAAAAGTCAAATAATAAAAGTCAAATAATAAAAGTCATATATAGAATTTATAGATTAATTAAATTTTATTAAATAGATTGATAAAGAAGAAAAATATAGATCTGAGTACAGTATTTTATCACAGATAGTAAGAAGTAAATTTTAAAAAAGATAACAGCAAAAATGCAACGCCATTATGTTTGCAAATAAATTCGTGGGATTCTACACCAAGAAAAGCGTAACCAGTGCACAAGAGATATTTCGGTATTCTTTGAATTGTAAATTCCGCATGACATTAAGTCAAAACTGTTACTGCCGCTTCGACAGATTTGTAGAATTCCTGTGGCGGTTCCTTTGGTTTTCGTCACGGTACAAAGATTACAATCCGATCCAAACAATATAGCGTTACGACAGCAATTAATCATGAATTGCAGCACTCGAATGCAATATTTGGCTCATCGATTGCAATTATGTTTAATATATTTTCCTTAAAATTTTACATATAGTGCAGATGCTTGAACGAACGAAGAAGTTAATCGCCGCCAAAATGTATAATCTGCGAGTGCTCACGCAAATCTCATCACGAATCGGTGATTCGTACGTGTACGCAAAGCTCGCAGATGTTAATTTGCATTCTTTCATTCCGAAATTTTACACCAGGTGCAGCGACTACCCTGTTACTCATGCCCATTTTTCTCGAAACTCATTTTAACACGCCTCTTCCGCGAAGCATCTTTGGCCGGTTTTGGTCAAAGGGATGAGAGGACCTGTTGCTCGCACAGTTAAAAATCTTGAGAGCAAGCAGTAGAGACGTTAATAAATGATATAATCACGTTGCAGACTAATAAATTAATATATCAAGAGATGTAGTAAATTCCAAATTGCCATGTCTGACAATGTCTGACAATTGCAAAGTATAAAAATCATATACAAAAAGAATAGTCTTGCCAAATATTTATTAAATATTTATTTTTATAAAAAAATTAATTTAGTTGAGTTATCAAAATAATTATATAGAATGCTCAAATTGATTTCTAAAATATAAACAATTTTACGGTATTATATTATTACGTATAAGCGTCCTACATAATTATTTTGATGACTCAAAGAAAATAATTTTTAAATACGTACTGGTCAAATTTTAGATACTTAAGTAAAATTGTTTTTTCAATGCGTCCAATATATTTAATTCTAAATATTAAAAATTATTAATGCAAAAATTTTAAACGCATAATTTTATCGCATGACGTCCAATAGTTGCTGAAAAATTTTAAACATTGAATACAATCAATATACTTAATTTTAAATATTTTTCGAAAATGTTTCTTGATTTTATGTATAGAAAAAATGATTTTGCTAAAGTATCTAAAAATTTTGCCAGACACAAATTCCAAAATAATTTTGTTGAGTCGTCGAAATTATTATGTAGAAGTTGGTTACTAGAATATAAATAATTTTCACAGTATTATCATCATGTTTAAGCCTCCTACATAATTTCTTTGATGACCCAACAACAAAATTATTTTCAGATCTGTATATCGGCCAAATTTTTAAATATCTAAAATTGTTCTCTCTCGTAACATGGGTCTAGATATATGCGTATATAATTACTCGCGTCCAAATATATAAACGTTAACGGAGGAAACAAAGATGAGTACAAGAAGAAACCCCTCGGGTCCGCACCGGTATAATTTAATTGACACAGCAGTCGGTTTCGTACAGTCGTTAAATCACGAATTTATCGCGGGGCCGGGACTCCGCGAGCGTAGGAATCGAAAAAAGCTGTAAGCGATGGAAAGTCGACCGCGGGCGACTTGATCTTACAATACCAAAATTACGGTGCGGACCTTCGTTTCGTCGAACACGAAAGAATTCGGCCTATTCCCCTCTCTTCGCAAACTCGAATAACAACCGACGCGGAAGAGACGCGCGACTCGCATTAAGACGTTATCTTTCCGTGTCGTGGGGATCGGTCGGGATACCTCTCTATTGTCCGAGATATGCAGTCGCGAGATCGTTCACCCGAAAATCTGGATCGTCCTGTTTTTCACCGGGTGCCGAGCAACCCGGTAACGGTTGTCCCGGACACCACGCCTGGTTGCAGATCATCCCAAGTACCGAACTGCCCGTCATGGGAGATTACGCGTCCTCGGCAGAGGACGGCTCCTCCATCATGGGTATCGTACCGTAAAATACACTTCTCGCCACTTAGTGGGCGAGAATTTGGAACGCACGATTCGTATACTGATAACGTTTATGCGACACATGCATTTGCATGCGTGCCCCCCTCTCCCCCTCCCCCCTTCCCCCGAGAAACGATCCCACGACTCGTTACCCTCGGTGGACATTGATGCTGCGCGGATCTGTTTACATTCCCATTTGGCTTTATCGCACTCCGATAACATCTCGAGAGTGAAACGCTTTATAATGTGCCATATGTGAGCAAGTATAACGTGTGCCCGAAACCTACCTACCACCTACGCGGATATCCACGCGGTCCATAGACTTCATGACAAATATGATGATAAATTTGACGTTTCTTCAACGAAAGTTCGCGATAAGAGTCCATTATTTATTCTTTCATCGCGATACTGAAGTGACGACTATCTCTCGTATCATAATTTTCTATATCTATGAGTGAGAGGACATTCAACACCTTTCGGAATATCATAAACAGTTACGCCGAAAGGTCGCGAGGTAGAATCCTATTCCGATTTAGAAAGCAAAATACATAAATCATCTATTAAATCTCGCTCACGCCAAGCCACACTCAGATCTATGAAAGTCACTTTTCAGATATTCATCTAGCCAACTTTCGAAGCGTCTTATGTGAAGAAAAAAAAAAAATTAACGAAATCTTGTCTTATAAATTATCAATAGGAAATGAGTCAGCTGATGGGAAGAATGAGTTACATAATATCAATTTATTTACAAAATTACAATAAATTATATATCGGAAGTGGATCGATGCGATCTTCGAATCAGAGTCATTGATATATCATGCTCTAATCGATACTATTTTCTACGTCTGACAAAATAATTAACTCTCGTCCAGTCGAAATATGCAAATAAAATGTTTTCTGAAAATACATTAATCGTAATTTCAAATCGCAGTATGATAAAACACGAAATATTAATTAATTCCACTTACATAGACAAGAAAACTTTGTCATGGATTATAATCAAATTTGGAATTATTATACAGATTGGATTATGATCAAATTTTCATTCTATTTCGATAGTGCGAGAGTTAATATAGAGATCAAATGTTCTTTTCGAACAACAATATTGAGTAGCAGCAAGAGTGAAATGCAAAGTGCAGCGAGATATTATGCTCATCGACGTGTCCAGGAATACAACGATTGAGCAATCCGCTTCATTCCTTATTATATCTTAATCACAAATTTCTTAATTAATAAATACATTTTTTAATAGCTCAATTTCCAAATACAATGCTTTAACTGCCTGACTGCGTCCATCTGAAACCTACTTGCCTGTAAAATTAATTTGAGTATCGAATGCACTGTTTAAGGTACAACAATTGAGCGCCACTATTCGCGCGAGGTAAGCCTCTAAGTTTTCTTCTTGTTGCGTAAATGAAGCGATGATGCATTTTTATTGCTGCATTTTACTATGTCGTCCACATAACATTTACTAGATCAATTGCTGAAATAATAAACATTTTTATGAGCAGCATGCAATACGTTTTTCGCGCGCGAACGAGATTTCCAGAAAGGTATTACATCTAAATTATATAAACTCGGTACTCCTGTAATAAATATAACAACATGGGTAAATTGCATGCACATTTAAATTCATATCCGAGAAGACGAATTATTATCATTGTCAAACTTATTCTAATAATATAAATCTCCTAACAAACAAATATATACTGAGTGTATCTCTAAAATATATAGCGATATATATCCTATAAAAATACAGAAGAGGTAATTGCTTCACGCAGAGAAATTATATCACATTATAATCTATATATGATCTATGAGAAAAATTACACTGTGTTAAAGAACAAAAGTTGATTTTATACAGTTTGTCATATTTTAATATCTATATAATAAAAGTGTACTGTGCAAACATAATATATAAAAGTGTACATTAAAATATCCGAGTCGGCTGTAAATGTGATGTAAAAAATAATGCTGATACCCACATTAGCGAACTTACTTTTTCTTTTTGTCGCAATCAGTCGTCTTTTGAATTATCAGTTTATTTCGCTGCCTTGTTACCTTAGTCGTCGATCGAGTATTTGGCGCAATCTGTTTTAATCCTTGTTGCAGAATTCTGCATGGACTAGCCGCACGCGGTGGTGTGGTACCCTTAAGGAGAGCCTCGACGTCCGCCAATCGTTTCTTCAACGCTCTATTCTCCTTCTTGAATCTCACGAGCTCGGAATCCTTATCCAATCTATCGTAACCGGAGCTGCTTGTCTCCTCCGCGAAATGCCTGAACACATGATGCAGCTTGTCCTCGTACTGCCTCTGCATCAAGATCATTCGTTTTTCAGCCTCCATCAGCCGCCAATCCTGATGTGCTATATGAGCCTCGAGTTCGGTTATCTGAACCTCCAGATTTTTCGAGCTCTCTTTCAAGTCGATTACCTTGCGGAAATACTTCATGAATAACGTTATTATTTCACCGTGAGAGAGTTTTTTCAACCGCTCCGTCAGCATTCTCTCGCCCTTCTCGCGTTGCGACTGATTCTCATCGAAATCCTTTCGTCCGCAAATCATCTCATTCTTGTGCTCGATCATCGCGTCGATAGCTTCGATGGTCTCTCCGCATTCCAGCAATTTACGTTCCTCGACAGTGGTCAGGGTCCTCTCCTTTTGAAATTTTTCATCCAAGTCGCATTTCTCATCCACCAGGCAGTCCCGGGTGCGCCTCAAATTCCTAATTTCGTGCCGTAACGCTTCCTTCTCATCCATATCTGCGGTTCTCTCCAGATCCATAGATTTCTCTTTCAAAACGTGATCCAAATGAGATATCCTTGCACTTACGTCCAGCAAATTCTTCTTCTTATCCGAACAATCAGTCTTCGATTTCGCATTTTGTTTCTCATCCTCGCTCTCCGATTGCATTTCCTTCAACTTGGATGCAGTTAAATTATATTTCTCTTCAAGTTCACGAATCTTCTGTTGATCCTTAGCCAGTTCATCTTCTAATTGTTTTTTACGATCCTCTTCTCTTTTCAATTGTCGTTTTAATTTATCCATTTGCTTCTTGGATGTATTTAACGAGGCTTCCAATTCCAAAACTTTCTTCGCAGAATCACCCGCTATTTGCTTTATCATATCTATATCCATCATTCGTTTCTCATAATTTATCGCTATATTTTTCATTAATTCAATTTCTTTCTTATGTGTTGACTTTTCGTCATGATCTTTATACATAGACGCATTTTCTGCTTGCGCTAATTGTGTTCTTGTGTTATAATACTCCTCTTCTAGTTTACTACGTTTACGTTGAAATCTCTGCTTCGCGCTAGTGCGAGTATCAGAATTCTTTATCATATCTGCTATAAAACGTTGCTTGATCTTAATCGTCGTCTGAAGTTCTTCGATGCGTTTATGCGCTCCATCTAAATTTGATTGAATCTTCTTCACTTGCGTTTGTTTTGCCTCGTTATTTAGCGTTAGAGTTTTCAATTCTTTTATAGGTTCAGATACTTCTGTATTCTTGAGAGCATCAAGTAACAAATCGGGTGAATTATCATTTTGTATCGCGACGAAATTGTCATTAATAATATTATCGTTCATATTCACCTCTGATTCGCGATTATTTAACATGCATGGACTGATATATTCTGGAATACGATTTTCGAGAATTTGATTTTGGCAAGGCTTCAGACTATCGTTAAAGGCTAATACTTCGTTACACATGTCAGAACCAGGAAGCATTGAATTTCTTCTAGAATTTGGATTTCTTATCGGTACAGGACGAGACACCGGTACAAAATTATTGTTTACGGATCTCATCATTGGAGATATGATCTCAGTGTTTGTTTCTCTAAAGTCATCTTTTTAGAATCTACAATTCTATCTGTCTCTGCTTTAAACTTGTTCATGCATTCGTCCAACTTTTCCAGAAAATCTGGATTTTCTGAACTTACATCGCTTTGATCATCCTCATCCTCTTCTTCTTCCTCTTCCTCCTCCTCCTCCTCGTCTTCTTCATCGTTATCGACCTCGGATAGTTCACTCTCTGAACTAGAAGTACAATTGGAATTGAGCTTAAGTTTTGTTTGATTTGCAGATTCATCCGTCTTCTCGTCAGTCTCTGTTACTTCCTCAATGCGTTCCAACGATCTTCTGGCATTTTCTGTGTATCCTTGTAAACTGATAGTCTCATCGCTAGTTATGCATTCCTCGTATTCTTGCTTCATGCATAACCACTGCTCGATTTGATCCTGATCAGTATGCGGCAAAACGTTACTCATCATAAGTTTCGTAAATAAACCTTCAGCGTTAGAGACCAACTTGGACCATTGAGACGCCGCAAACTCCAATCTAAATAGATCTGCGCTGGAGCTGCGTTCGCCGGAAGTAGCAGGCGTCATTGTATCATGCACTTCCTCACCAGTCTGCTCAGTCTCTTCTTCGATCAGCTGATGACGTTCGTGGTCGTGATCTTTAAAGGATGGCATCGTATCAATGTATGGCATGCAGCATTGATGTTCTAGTACCGGCTGATGTTGAATCCATGGATCGTAATGCATCATCTTATCGACGCCTCATATAATCTCATCTAAAGAAACGCTCTTCCGCTCGAGTATGAGCTGATTTGCATCTGCAAATGTCATCGTTCTATCATCCGTTCTCTCTTATTGAATTCAAGTAAAATCGTGGTGTACAGAAACTATCATATTCTAATATTACTGTCTAATTCGAACGCAATGTTAAACGGAATGAAAACAAGATTTCGATTAAAATATATTGTTATACCTGGATGGTGCTTACGTGTAAAATTCCTAACCTATCTCCCATGTCTCAGAACCATGCCTTGGAATCTTCCGTTTCATCGAAGGATCACGGCACATACTACGTTCTATGTGCTTTCCGATTTTGCGAGTAAAAGCCACAATTTAGCGACCGTGAGATCTCAACGGGAGCTTTCGAGCCATCTTCTCAATTTAACAGAAATCAATGCCACCACGACAATGTCATACAGCGCCAGGAATAGACGAAGCTGCGTATCGTGGTACATACGTTAGTTTCACGAGAGAGAAACGAGAAAAGCAGCTATCCCGATCTTTTTCATAAGATCATCAAAACAGAGAGAAGTCTGAGAGCGAACATGCCCGTGATTTAGCTGTAACTTTATTTTGAATAAGTATAAATTTTCGTGACTGCTAAGCGAGCCCGTAATTGACGAATAATGATATTACCGACCGTTTTGCCTACTGAAGATAACTAAAGGAGCATAAGCACGTTTATTTATTACCATTATTATTATTATTATTACGGATTTAATTTTATAATTAATAGTTTGCAAAAAAAAACTATTAATTTCACGTTTATATAATAACGCATCTATTTACATTCGCGTACGTTTTTTATTTATTATCGAATTTTATTTATTGTGTTAGAAGTATTGATGAATATTAATATTAGTATATACATTTATCAACATGTTTATATTCATATGTACATATACATATAAAATAAAAACAATGTATGATAAATATTTTCTTATTATTATAAAATCCTTTATAATTTTATGTTATTATTTTTATAATTTATCGTTATTTTATATTTAAATCTTTCGTAATTTATAGATAATTTATAATATTTACATTACAGAGAAGTTTAATAAGAAAAATTAATCTAATAGATTAATAAAAATCATAATATAATAAAATAATAAAATTTACGTTGTTCGGTACAAACAACAAAAATTATTTTTCAGTCAGAATATTTACCACTGTTGCAACAAATCTCGATTTTTTTGCAAAATTCTGAGTCCTTTCATTCTCGAAGGTAAAGCTAACATTAACATTCTTACATAAATCTCACTAAAAAGAAGAATTTTATACAAACCCTGTATTTAAACTAATTCAATAATTTTATTATTTAACACTTAAAGACAAAATTCCAATAATTGACAATTTTGTATCAGTTACGACTATTCATAATAGCACACTAAGCGAAAATGTATCGTATTGATTATTTATCACAATTGTACTGACAAATCTCATTAGTTATAACAAACTCTCATTAGTTATAACAAACTTCTATGCTTTACTTTCTCTTGCGTTTTTAGAAACTGATCAATTTGTAGAGGCCCTCCACCACCCCCGCCAATTTCACTTCTTAGCGGTCCTCTTTTCTTTATATGCATATTTTAAATTTTCCTATATTTATTACTTTTTATACAATATAAAAAAATTTATTACAATACAAAATATAATTCGATAATATTCAATAAAAATACAATAAAAATACAAAAGTTTAATACAAAAGAAAGAAACATCATAATACAATACAATAATATAATACATCATATCATAATATATCATAATATAATACAATAATACAATTTGTATTGTTCGGTAACAAAAATTGTTATTGTTCAGTTGGAATATTTAATAGAATAAAATCTGAATTTGTAAAGGCCCTCCACCATCCCTACTAATTTTGATTGGTGGTCCTCTTTTTTTACACGCATGTTTTAATTTATTTTATATATTTATTATTATAATATTTATTAATTATATACGAATAACAATTTTGATATCAAATAATACAATATAAAGTTACAAAATTATACATTTTTAATGCATTATTTACAATTAAAGAAATCAATACAATAAATCGAGAATATATTTAAAGAACAAAATATAATAGATAGATTTATACATATACAGATTTATATATACATGTCACGAAGTTAAATTCAGAAAAGAAAATTATTAAACATTTAAAATACCGAATATTATTTATTATATTTTGTTCTTTTTACAATTAATAGTTTGAACAGATTTACAAATTTTTAAATTATTAAATTAAATAAATTCTTAAACTATTATCCTACCTGCCTGAATTTTTTAGTGTCCCTACCTACCCGATTGAAGATTTTGTATAGATTTATTCCTACCTATCCGTGTTCTCAACTAAAATTTAATAATTAACATTTTAAATGTAGATTTATCAATCTTCAATTCCTAATGTAACATTTTTTTATTAACCGGAATTTTTTAGTATTCCTACCTACCCGTATCATTTTTAATTAACGTTTATTAATTTTTTATAATTACATTTAACTATATGATGTAACTATATATGATGTAACTATATGATATAATTATATGAAAAAATGTAATTGTAAATATAATTCTATGATAAATTTATTTAAATGAAATTAAATAAATTCATCATGGAATTATTAATTTTTAAATTATAACATTTCTTTATTGTTTTAATTCTTTCCCACCCGAATTCTTACCCACCCGAATTTTCATAATGCTATAGATAATACTGTCTATAGATAGTACTATCTATAGTGCTGACATAGAAGCACTTTATCATTCCCCTCCAATTATACAATCGCACAATCCAATTATACAATATTACAATCGCACGTATACAAATCTTATTAATT